GCTCCACCCCCACCCGCCCCGGGGCCTGGCTCCCGGTCCCGAGCGGCGCCCCCTCGGCCGCGGCGCCCGGCCCGCTCCTCCCAGCCCGGCGGCTCCGCTCTTGGTTTCCCTAACTTTGGGCACCTCTTGGCGGCCGAGCGCCCCCGGCGGACCGGGGGCAGGCGCTGCGCGGAGAGTCAGGCGCGCTCGCCCAGCGGCCAGCCCTCGCGGTCTGTCCCAACAGCGGCCCAGCCCGTCCACGCCCCCCACCCCAGAACCGGCACACCGTCCAGAGCGACTGCCCCGCAGGAGCCCGGACTCTTGGTTCCCCTGAGACCCCTTGCAACCTCACCCTCTGTCGCTGGAGTTTTGGCTTTTCTCCCCTCCTACTGCCCCCCGTGTCTGCGTCATTCTGCAGGTGGAGAAAGTGCGCTCTTACCGGCCATGACTGGCCATGAGTGGGGGCCGTAAGGAAGTCCCAACTGCAGAGAGGGATAGGAAGACCCGGACCGGAGACCCCAGGCGCCCCTGGCTAGCTCCCACCTGCACCAGGCTTGGCTTCGAGATATTCTGGAATAGGGAAATGGACCAAGAGGCACAGGGCACAGGTGCCCACTGTGGGCCCCTGTGGCAAAGGGAGGGTGCTCAGAGCCCTGAGGGTGCGGCGAAGATTGGCTGTAAAGGACATGTATTGAGCACCTGTGGTGTCCCGGGCCGGCTGCGATCCCACCCTTGTGCCCGGGAGGTGCCTGTGGCCTCCGCCATCTTCTGCTCGGGGCCACTCCCTCGCGCTGGGCAGGCGCTCGCTCTCTGGAAGATGCCTGGGAAATGAGACGGGGTCTAGAGGCCAGAACTCAGTTTCGGTCCCAGCTGTTTCTGGGTTTGGGTGGCTGTGGCCGCTGGGTCTCCTCCCCTCGGGCTCCTGGCCCAAATCGGCCTCATGGGGAGCCTGGGGGATTGGGGGGGGGGGTGTTGCGCAGCTGCTGAGCTGGCAGCTCCCCCCATTCTCTGAGCCACGCCAGCTGGGTGTATGTCCCACGTGGGACCCCCTGGACGGTCCTCGGTGGCGGGCAGCCGGTCCTCGTGGGGGTCCTGCAGCCACAGCTGTTCCGGAAGGTCGCACTATCATCCACATCTTTCTAGCTGTCCCCGGCCTCCCGCAGACCCTGTATCCCAAGGGAGCTGGGAGGCCCCTTGTCTTCCAAGTTGGGAAACAGGCAAGGGGGATGAGCCTCCTCCGCCCCCTCAGTCCGCCATAGTTTTGTCCTTCCACCTGGGGGAGGGTAAGAAGAGGCGGGTACCTTTGTAGGAGAAATTCTGAGTGGGGGAGGAGCCGGCCCAGAGGGCGGCCGGGTGGGCGGGGGTATGCGGAGATTTCTGGGGTCCCCAAGCAGGCAGGCCAGCTCATGAGCTAATTTCTGGTCCGTTGTGAAGGACAGAAAGCCACCCCCGGGCAGTAGCAGAGTTCCCAGATGGGGAATTTGAGCTGCCCCCACCCCGGGTCCACCCCCCATTGCGGACATCACTGCACCGCACCCTGGCCCGTGGCACCCCCTCGATAGCTGGGGGTCCTGGTGGTCTGGGCGCGGGAGGCTGGGAACCCACCCCCACCCCAGGTCAGCTTCCCAACGTCGCTGGAGGGGCCGGCGGGCAGAGGTGGTGAGTGGGAGCCCTCTGAGCCTAGCGGCCGGGCCTCCCAGTCCGAGGGCATCGAGCAGCCCGGAGGGTGGCTGCCAGAGAATGTGCTGAGTCAGCCAAGGCACCCAGCGCAGGGAGGGTTAACCCGGGGCTAGCTGCTTCCCGGCAGACAGCTGCCCCGGGAGCATCTGGTGGCTGGGAGGGTCGGGGGTGACGTGGGCGGAGGAGAATGTGGTGAAAGGGGCTGGGGGAGGTGCCCACCCTCTGCCCCCACCGTGTGCCAGCTGGTGTGCCCAGGGAGGGGAGCAGCACGGAGGATGGAGGTGTCACCCCCGCCAGGCTACACACTGGCTTCTTCCAGGGCACCTCTGGGGGGAGGTGGGCAGGGCAGGGGAGGGGAGGTCCAGCTCTGCCCACCTCTACCCGCCTCTACCTCTGATACCCATGTCACGCTTCTGGCAAGTCACCCCCAGGTGGCCCACCCATGTCTCCCGTCTTCCTCTGACTCGCAGGCCAGCCAGCCACTTTTCCTACTTACGAGTGGGGAAACTGAGCCCAAAAAGTCCGGGGGTCAGCCAGGAGGGCAAGTTAGCAAGGAGGAGGAATTTGGTCATTCATTTTCTGCCCCCCCGTTTACTGGGCACCTTTTGGGCACTAGTCCCTAACGAAGTGCCCCCTTGTCCCACTGCCCTAGCATTGTGTCACTCAGTCCAGGGTGGGCATCCCAGGGTGCGCTTCAGGCTGGAGGGGCACAGACGGACGCAGCCTGTCTTCCTCCTCCTGCGAGAGATTCTGGCCACCACCGGATGGGAGGTCCCAAACCAGAGCCCTCCCCACCCAGCCCCCAACTGTGCGGTAACTGGGCCCTGGCGGGGAGGTGGGGGCAGGTGGCAGCCGGAGGGGGTATGTCCGGCCCGGCAGACTCCTCCTCCTCCCTGGGCCGAATTGCCCCACCCGAGCCCCTCCCCCACACAGAGCCCCCTGCTCAGCCCCATCCGCAGAGCAGCTGTGGGGGAGGGGAGGGGCAGGCCGGGCACACCTGACTCAACCTGAGCCTAGTAAACTCAGGAAGCCTCTCCGGGAAGCAGGGGCCCCGGGTGCCCACTGGCTCCTCATGCAGGCCGCATCATCGTGGCCACAATCACTAACAGACGGCGGTGCTGGACGCCCCCCTGCCAGTACCCACTGGGCCCTGCACCCTTGGAAGAAGCTGCACCGAGGGGTGTCCCCGCCTCGCTGTGTGAGGAGGAGGCGGCCAGGCGGCCAGGCTCTGCTCCGTCGCTGGGAGAGTTTGTCTCAGCAGGAAGAGGGCTCCTGGAGCAGCCGGCGCTGTGGTCGGGAATGTCGCGGGGCGCTGCCTTGGGAGGCCTGCTCTGAGGCCCTTCCAGGGAGCCCAGCTGGCGAGAACGTGCACCCCGTCCTCGGGCAGAGAGGCTGGGCGCAGGCACCGAGCTGAATGGCCACCGTCGGCCCTGGTCGAACCCAGTCGAGTGGGAGGAGGGACGCAGACCAGATGGGCATTCTGAGGACTCCCAGCTGGGAGAAGGCCTCGGCGGAGGGTTGTAGACCCAGCAGGACTGGGAGAGTTCCCGGTGCCCTCTTGGCCATTGCTCAGCCCAGAGCCTTCCCGTGGCCTTTGGCTGTCACAGTGGCAGCGGGCCCAGAGCTTGGGGCGTTGAAGGCCAGTGGGCAGAGGACAGGCCTGGAGGCGTGGGGGCCAGGACCCCGGGGGGCTGGAGAGAGGGCCAGAGCCGCAGCTGAGCCCCTCCCCTTAGCTAGGGGCACCGCTTACCTCCTGGGCTACCACCTGGGTCCAACCCCTCCCCGAAGGACAGAGCCAGGTGACAGCCCTGGCATTCCTGGCGGGAGGAGGGCCCGGGGCACGCCTCTGGTTGTTCCAGAAGGAGTGGTACCCTGTCCTCCCAGCCTGTGGCCCCAGCCGGCCATCGCTTTGCTCTCCCTGGCTTTGAGGACACGTGGTTCTGGGATCGATCACCCTGGGCTGCCCGGCCAAGGCCCCTACTCCGGGAGCCTTCTGACCCCAGATCTCCAGGAGGGGTCCCTCTCTGCCTGCTGTGTGCCCAGCCCTCAGGCCATGCCCCTCACACTGCCCACTGCAGGCCTGACCTGCAGGCGTCCTCATGGTGGGAGGTGGGAGGTGCCCCGGAGGGGGCACAGACAGGCTAGGGTGTGCCCAGGGGCCAGGAGACCAGGGCCGGCCAGTCCCCCCCATCCTGGGCTCCCCCAGGAGCGTCCCCAATTAGGCTTGCCTTCTCCCCAGCTGGTGCCCTGGACAGGCAGGCTGCCCTATAAAAAACTTGCTGGCCGGGGCTGCTCAAATCAGGGACTTCGTGGCTCTCCGCAGAATGATGTACATTCAGTGTACAGAGAGTCCTGGACCAGGGGGTCAGAGTCCGGGGTCTAGCCTGGACGTCCCCCTCCCGCAGCCTTAGTGACTCTGGGTGGGTGTGGGAGAGCCCTTCCCACAACGACGTGGAGCTGCCTGGTTTTGTGAAATGCACCGAGAGCTGGAAGGAACCAGAAAGGTCAGCGTTGTCAGAGGCCGCTTTTCGTGGGTTGGAACTCTTGTGATGACGTCTATAGGCTCCAGGCGCCTGCTGGCCGCTGGGTGCTGGGCCCTGGGCTGGCCCTGCGCTGTACCCGTCCCCCCCTCACCACAGCCCACCGGGCCCTGTGGAGCCAGGAGCCTCCCGGCTACGCCCCTCCGTCCAGCCGTCCTTGGTCCTCGCCCCTCTCGTGGGACTTTGGCCTCGTTACCTCCACCTGGGACACCACAGAACCCCCCCCCCCCCCCCACCCCTTTGTCTGGCCTCGGGTCTGGCCCCTCCAGGCACCACCCCAGAGAGCCAGTGGGCGTTGGCCCCGTCTCATTTCTTGGACTCGTTCATTTTATTAAATTAAATCGCAGCTGTGTCCTGCCTGTCAGTCCAGCCGTATCTCCAGGCCTGGCAGAGGGCAGGTGCCAGAGAGCGGCCACGGCATGAACTGCCCTCTCGGGTTTGCCTCCCCCGAGCCGGCCAGGCTGCGGCTCCCAGCGGAAGGCTCAGGCTCCTGGGAAGAACCCCTCATGGCTCCAGTGACCGCACTCCTGCCCCCCGTCCTGCACCCCCTCGAGGCCCGGGGTCTGTGAGCCGGAAGCCAGGGCTAGTAGGGGAGGGTGGCACCTGTGATGGGCCAGGAGTCTGCATCTTGGCAAGACACCCCTCCACTTGAGGACCCCCCTTGGCCTGCAGAACGAGCTTCTACAACAAGCCCCAGGCCCCAGCCTCGGGGGAAGGGGAGGACAGGGCTGAGCCCCAGCATCACTGTCTGGGAGGCGAAACAAGAGCCTGGGCCGGTGATGAGGTTGCTCTTGGCACCCCAGCCCCGTGCAGCTTTCTCCGGGGGGGCCCCCATCAGGGCACCTCCTAGCACCTTGCTGGGGTGTGAGGTTGGGGTCCAGGCCGTGGGGAGCACAGACCACCGCAGCGGCCACATCGGGCACCCAGGGCGCCAACACTTCCGTGGGGCCGTTTTTATCCTATCTGACCTTTGGCCCCAGTGCTCCGCCACCCCATCCGCACCACCTCCCTCCTTCACAGCGCAGACTGGGCAGCCCCGGGGGAACAGGTGAGGGGCACGGAGGGAAGGGTGGCGCCCGGGGGCCCCGAGCCCCAGCCCAGGACGGGGCCTGCCCCTGCCCCCCTCCCTCGCAGGACCGGACTCCGGCAAGCTCCTTCCCCCCTCCATCCTTGGGGGCCTGGCCAAGCTCTGGTTCCCATGGGGGGCGGGCGAGGGTGAGGGCTCTGCCGCTTCTCCAGGAGGTGCCCGCAGACGGCCTTATATGGCCAGGAGTCCTCAGCCCAGGAGGAATCTGATCCCCCGGGAAGGGCAGGGCCAGGGCTGCCGTGAGCCAACGGCTGGGAGCGCCTCCAGCAGCCCCCAGACCCCAGCCTCCTGGGCCCGTGAGCCTTCGAAGGGAGCCAGATTCGCCCGGATGCCTTCCCAACTTTG